CCCCACCAACACTTACAGAGGACAGACCGACGACCGGAGACCATTGCTTATTTGATTCTCCATTCTCTCAAAGCTTGTATCTCTATTCTCCATACCTCTGAATTAATAAAATACCCGGCAACTGAAGCCATTGAAGAGTGGACGTAGGTCGAATTGACCGAACCACTAGAAATCGTGTCTTTTTTAATTTTCTCATTAATTTCACTGCATTTATTATCTACACTTGACAGGTGGTGTGCAAAACCATTTTTGTGCATCATCAATAGGCTTCACACCAAGCATCATTCATCTCTTCACTCGATTTCTCTTCCATTGTCTCTTTGACTGTTCTTAGTAGAGCTTCCTTCACCACCTAAATATCATGGTTAACGATGAAAAGCTAATCAAACCTATGAGACTTATCAATAACGAAAACTTGATCGAATCACAGAATAATATATCTATATATGTATAGAGAGAGAGAGAGAGAACACTAAAAGTGTTGCTTGCACCTCAAAATGTGGATCAAGAACTCCGTTCTGGACATGGACAGATCCCAACCACTTGAGAGTAGTACCTGCAACCACCTCATGAAGTTGAATGTTGATTCACATGTCTAAAACACAAACAATTAGTTAAAGAATTACATACTACAACTAGAATCGTTTTAATTTCTAATATTAACAAATATTATACTAGCATAAAACTCGTGCAATGCACATTCTTAATAAGAGAATACAAAATCTAATTATTGAAATTAAGCAGTAATGAAATATTTTTTTGAAAAGTATAGGATGTGTGTATAATTTAGACCTACATGTTTCTATAATGTTGCCTAAGTGTTATCAGGGACGACCCAATAAAAAGGCCACTTAAATAGTTGTTTAGGGCCCAAAAAAAGAGAGTATCAAATAATAATGGGCTTTTTTTTTGTGGGTATATTTTTTTAGACTTATTTGAAAGAAAGTGTATAGATAAGTATTTTACTCTATTAAGTTCAATTTTAACAAAACTTCTAGTAATTAGGTACAAAGTTCAAATGATATTTGAAAATTTTTAATTATTTACCCTTCCTTAAATTATGCATAATTTTTATTCTCTCAATCTCTCTCTCTCCCCCTATTTTCTCTCATTCTTTCTCTCTCTCCCTCTCTCCATTACTCTCTCACTATCTCTCCACATTTTATCTCCATTTCTCTTTCCCCACCCGTTACTTTTCTCATATTTCCCCTATTTTATATCTCTATCTACCATTGATAATTTATTTTCTTTTCAAATATGTAAAGATTTGATTTATTTTTTCATCTCTCTCCCCTATTTTTTTCTCTCTCTCCCAATCTTCTATCATCATTTCTCTCCCTCCTTATTCTCTCTCTTTATATCAACATTACAACAACACAATTATACTAATCAGTCACATCAATCAGTTATAATTGTCCTATAATACACCAAACAGTTATTCATGTATTCTAATAAATTAAACAGTTACACCAAACAATTACACAAAATTATAACACCAATCCAATTTGTCGTTTAGTTGTTTACATAAACTAAATAGTTGCAACATTTTGTATCACCACATCGTTACACCATATATATATATATATATATATATATATATATATATATCAAATTTAGTATAATGATAAAGTCTTTTGTGTAATGATAAACCCAATTTGATGTATATAATTGGTGTAATCATGTCGTGATACTAAATAATGTAACTCTCTGATATATGTAAATAATTGAATGACAAATTGGGTGGTGTTGTAATTTCATGTAATTGTCTTGTGTAACTGTTTAGTTTATTTAAACAAATGACTTATTGTTTGATATATTATAGGGTAATTATAATTAATTAGTATAACTGATTAGTGTAATTGTGTTGTTATAACGTTGATATAGAGAGAAAGAATAAGGAAATAAGGGGAGAAGGAATGTGTGTGTGTGAGAGAGAGAAAGAGAGAGAAATATGAGAGAAAGAAGAAAAAATTAAATCAAATCTTTACATATTTAAAAAAATAAATTATCAATGTGTGAGAGAGATAGATAAAGATAGATAGAGAGAAAATAGGGTAGAGAGAGTGAGAGAGCAATGGAGAGAGAGAATGAGAAAGAGTAATGAAGTAATAAATGACTTTTTAGTCTTTTTTCAAAAAAATGCACTTAGGGTCAAATAAGTTTATTTAATGTAGTTTAGCTCAAATAAATCTAAATTTCTTTACTGACTTCTAAATTACCTAAAAAATAATTATAGTCTTTAAATGTAATTTAAATTGGCCCAAAAAATTTGATTTAAAGGGCCCAATATTATAGAAATTTTTAAAAGGTCTAGACTAAAATAAGGGCCCAACTCATATTTCTCCCACTTTTTGCAATGATAAGAAGATTTAGAAGCAGTGTTATCAAAACATGACCAATCATTGAATCGGCAAAGAATTAGGTGAATGACTTACTGGTTTAATTATTGAGTCAACTGGTCGGACCGATCAAACAATAAAAGAATTATAAATATTATAAAATATAATAATAAACTAAATACCCATACATCGGGATACATATATATAACAATATATCTATATAATAAAATATAATACAATTTAAATCACAAAAGATAAACAAAATAACTTTTATTTTTCGTGGTTGAGATTTTATTTTAAAATTTATCCGATGACTAATATTAGCACCACAACTTTAATAGGAAAAATAGGCTCCAAGGGTGTTTGGGGTGCCTTTTTAAAAAGGGGGCTTAGGGAGGCCGATATCTCCTTAAAAACTTAATATGATAAAAGTATAATTTTTAAAATTATTGGAATAAAAGTACATATACTAAAAAAAAGTCATAAATACCATTTTACCCCTACCATAAATACTGCATACCTAATTGAATGTGAAATTTTCAAGATTAGAATGTGAGAATTTTAAGATTCCTTTTGATATTTGTATATCTTTTGAATTTTGAAATATATGTTACGTATATATAGTAATATATATATATATATATATATATATATATATATATATATATATATATATATTTGTTTACTCAAAGAGTTGCACCTACAGAGGGACTCGAAAACTTATCATGCAAACAGTGTCACCAAAGAGAGACATTAGATAACGACAATGGGGGTCCAATCAATCACATTATGTAATGCCCTTTTAATAATGCTCAAGTAGTGTCAGTAAAGAGTGACAACAATAGATTAACCATAAATGATGACAATATATATTTGTTTACCCAAAGAGTTGCACCTAAAGAGGGATTCAAGAAATTGTCATGCGAACAGTGTCACCAAAGAGAGACACGAAATAATGACAATGGAGGTCCAATCAATGACATCATGTAATATCCCCTTGATAGTGCCCAAATAGTTTCAGTAAAGAGTGACAACAATAGATTGACCCTAAATGATTATAATATATATTTGTCCACTCAAAGAGTTGCACCTAAAGAGAGACTCGAAAAATTGTCATGAAACAGTGTCACCAAAAAGAAACACATGATAATGGCAATGAGGGTCTAATCAATGGTATCATATAATGTTTCCTTGATAATGTCCAAGTAGTGTCAGTAAAGAGTGACAACAATAGATTGACCATAAATGATGACAATATATATTTGTCCACTCAAAGAGTTGCACCTAAAGAGGGACTCGAAAAATTGTCATGAAAACAGTGTCACCAAAGAGAGATACAAGATAATGACAATGGGGGTCCAATCAATAACATCTTATAATGCCCCATTGATAATGCCCAAATAGTGTTAGTAAAGAGTGACAACTAAAGTATTGTTTGATGTTATTATTTTTTTGTTAAGCATGTTACTGTTTGATGTTACTATTTTTTTGTTGAACGTGTTATTATTTGATATTACTATATATGTGTGTGTGTCTGTGTGTATATATACACACACACACATATATATATAGACACACACACACACACACACACATATATATATGTGTGTGTGTGTGTGTGTGTGTGTGAAATTTCAAAATTCAAATGATACACAAGTATCAAAAAAAATCTTGAAAGTCTCACATTCTAGTATGTAGATATTGGAAATATAAAAGTTGTCAATTAGGTATATACTATTTATGGTAAGGGTAATTATGGAATACATTTTAGAAAAATTTGAAAATGTTTTAAAATGTATACTTATTAACAACTATTTGATAAAAAAAAAAGACTTAAAGGAGGATAAGTTTAGATGTGGATACTTAAAACCAAATAAATTTTGAAAAAAAGTTATCACATCTCGTTATCTCTTTAAAAAGTGCTTTAGAATTTATAACTTCTTATAAATATTTTTTTTTTAAAAAGTGTTTGGACTTATTCCACCGCCCCACCATAACCCCCGCTACCAACCCACCCCCCTTCCATAATCACCCCCACTCCCACCGCCACCACCTCTGCCACAACAACCACCACCACCATTATCACCGCACCACCACCACCATCCCCACTACCATCACCCCACCACCCCCACCGCCCTACTCCCAATCGAGGATCATCATCGCTAGTGCTATCGCTACTGCCACCCCACCACCACTACCACTGTTGCCCCCCCCCCCACTACCACTATCGCACAATCACCCTACTCTATTATTGATTGCTACCACCGTTGTCCATTACCACCATCTATTATCATTGTCATGTAACTTTTATATTTCTTATCACTGTCATCATCATTCCATTACTACCGTCGCCCATCATCATCTCATTACTATCGTCACTTGTCACCACCCACCGCCACCCATTACCATAACCCATCTCCCCCCTTTGTCGCCCACCATGGTCATCAACCAATGTCACCCACCCCTCACCACATCTATCACCACCTATCATCGCTCACCGTTGTTGCCACCCGCTATCACCAATTACCTCAGCTTATAGTGAAAATGGAGGTTTAAAATTTAAATTATGATTTTATAAAAATGAGATTTTGAAAAATTAAAAAAATATTTAAAAATTATCCTGGGAATAAAATCTCACTGGTGATAGTTTGAAAATTGAGAGTGAGAATAGGAAGGAGGACAAGCAGAGAAGAAGAAGAAAGAGGAAGAGATGGGAAGTAGACTGGGAAGAAGAGTAGTTCACTTTGCTAACCTCCCCATTAAACTTCTCATGCCCTCTTCCTTCTCCAACATCTCCGAAATTGCCCTCAAAACCATCCCCTCGGCTTCAAAGGTACAAAACTCACATTAAATCTCTTCTCTCTCTCTCTCTCTTTCTCGGAGTCTGTGTGTGTGTGTATAATCTTAGACTCATTTTTTTTTTTTTTTGGATTTTTAATTTGATATGAAGATTGAAATCAAGAGGGTATTGGAATCACTGTATGGTTTCGAAGTGGAAAAAGTCCGAACCTTAAACATGGACGGCAAGAAGAAGAAGAGAGGCGGACTATTGATTGCGAAACCGGACTACAAGAAGGCCTACGTCACTCTCAAGAACCCTCTTTCAATTTCGCCTGACCTATACCCTATCCGATTAATCGAGGAAGACAAACAGAACATGAAAAAGCAAGCAAAATCGAGCATTGTTGAAGACGGAGAAGCTAAGAAGTCACATTGGCTCCAGGATAAGGATGGTGGAAAGTTTAAGGCTGAGACCACTTCCACTGGTGGATATCGTGGTGGCGCTAGGTTTCCGTGGACCAGCATGCGATCTTCGTCTTCTAGGTAGTTTGGATTTTGCCGAAATATGAGAAATTAAATACTTTTTTTTTTTTTTAAAGTGGTGTTGCTTACATTGGTTTCTACGTGTTTGATGATCGGTTTCAGTGAGTTGATGATGTTGAGACTTGAGATGATGTTAGATAATTTTCAAAAATGTTACTGGTTACTTGCGGTCATGAGTATGACAATTTGTTAGGTACTTTTTGTTTCATGGCTTAGTAGTTATGATCTATTGGGGTTACTTATTATAGCAATTGAATTCTAGTTGGTTGGGACACCGTGCGATTATTGGATAGGTAATGATTTTTTCATGTTGATGACATTAGAAGTGTAAGAATTTTTTCATTCTTCTTTTCCTGTCTTACGATTTTTTTAGCTTTTCTTTGTACCATATAAATCCTATTATTTAAGATTCAAAGGTTCTTGGATGTTTTAGCACAAAAGTTTTATGAGTGGTGACAGTGGTCATTGCTAGTTGACAGTAAGAACTGAAAATGGATGTTTTCGGTTTCTATGTTGTGCCACCTGAGCATGACAAGTTACTTGAAAAGGATTGGTGATTGGGCATGAATAAAAATCAAAGTATAATGGGATGTAATTATATGTGATGAGCACCTCACTCTTAGATGATTAGGAAAATGAAGGGAGAGGTATATTTTTATTGGCATGTCAGGATTCCTTGGCTGCATATGTCACTTTGAGGTTCTGTATCTGTTTGTGTTTCATTCAGGATCAAATGTTCAAGATCTGCCATGCTTGGTTGTTGTGGTTCTTTCAGTTGATTAGGTTCAATTTAAAAAATGTCGCCGGTAGACATGCATATGAGCTGGACAGATGTGTAGTCTTCTCACGCACTATGGTTCAGTGCATCTGAGGTCAATTGTGGTACAATTAAAATGAAACTTTTGGGCAGGTTCTGTCTCGTAGTACATTGGGAGACATCTAAGGCCTGTTTGGTATGTGAGTTTGAGTAAGATTTAGCGGGTGGGTTTTATGGAAATAGTCCAATGCACCTTCTAAACCCATGTTTGGTTCAAGATTTGAGGCTTGGGATTTAAATCCCGATCCACTAGCGACAGTGGATTAGAACCCACTGATGGGGTTTGACGAAATCCATGGGGTTTCAAAAGTAAAAAATTGGATTTGTAGATTAAAAAGCTACTTTACCTAAAAATTCATTCTCCTATTCACTTTAATGAACATTTTAGTCAATTAAGTAACAAAAAAATTAATTCTGTACATGATTTGACATAAATCTGTGGGCCTGTATGTATATGTTTCACTTAACAAATATGGGATTGGATAAGGTAAATTGTTTCATGGTTTGATAAATGCAATCCAATTCCCCCATAAAGATCATCCAATCCAAACAGCCCCCTAATGGGTATATGCATCAAGGCTTCATTACTATTCAAGCATCTGAGATTTTGCCTGTTACAGTTTGGCAAAACACAAATTTGAACCCTGTGTAGTTGCTTTGAAGCTGGCTGTGCATTGTGCGAAAAGAAAAAAATTTGTGGTGTTAAGGACTACTGTAAGGGAACACCAGGTGTAGCATGCAGCTGGAGGAGGCGAATATGCTGTTGTAATTCCCATTTCATTGCACACTCTTAACACTTGTTCTAGCTCCAGCACTGAAAGTTATATGATGCCCTGCTGCATGTCTGCCATTATTATCTTTAATTCCTCCAGTTCTTCTTTGAGGGTCTTGATTTCCTTTTTTGTGGATGATCATCTATTTTCCTGGTCCGATTTTTCTTCGCTTGCTGCTTTCTCTTTGCCTGGTATTGCCACCCTCATTTTTACTTGCTACGAAAACAAAACCCATAATTTCTCTAAGTAAGAATTGTTTGAGAACATGGGACAGTGCACGTGGTAATTTTTAGGGTTTGATATATCCACACGTTTTGTGGAATTCTCTTTTCCATACCATGTATGTGTCAGTCTCTCAGCAAATCTGGACTTATAGGCATCGTTTACTAGTATTATCAGCTTACTTTATGTTAAATATTTTAGGATATATGAAAATAACTGCATTGATTTGTAAGCCTTTCGTATTGAGCTGCTGGCATTGATAGTAAACGTGAAGTACTACCTCTATTATGTCATACTTGTCTTGAAATGGTCACAATTTATGGAAGTTGTACTGTTGTTACTTAAGAAAGTTCTCCTTCCTAGCTTTATCTCAGCATTTTCAAATATATGTGACAGCACACTATGGTGGTATTGAGAGCACTATGCTGGCTGGTTCTGGTCTGATCATAAAACTCTTATCTCTGTCTCTCATGCATGCTTATTCAAGATTCATATTTGTAAGCCGTATGCATGGTGAGAATAAATGTTGGAGAGGTGAGTCTGTGGTTGAAAGGGGAGTACTGCTGAGGCGGTTGATGGATGACTTCTTCAATTTCTTCTAAGTTTGCTGTCCCAAACCAAATACTGGATTGAAAGGGAATTCGGGTTATATCTACGAGAAAAGAGAGAATTTTGGATATGACAAGTCCAATACAGACTACATAACTTGGCTAGTGGATGGTTTTATGGCTTTCAAGAATGTAAGGCTGTTTCAAACACTTACAGCTTGTGTAAATGTGTTTGTATGTGCTCATTTAGTCTTCTCTATGTGATGCCTAATGCATTTTCAATGGATATCAGAATACAATGGGAGGTTCCGTTTTTCCTCTTAGTGGGAGTTCAAGGTATCAATTTGTTTTGTTCTAGTGGACCAACATTAAATTTTGAAATACCAGATCCCTGCCTTCTGAATCTTTTGGAATTCACACAGCAATACTTAGAAATTTACGTAGTAACCTCGTGTTATTAAATTTCTATGTATTTTCTCGAGCTAGGAATGTTGTCAGTTGGTCATTATCTGAGACTAGTGTTTACAAGTGCAATTATAGTTGAATATTGTGATTCCTCACTAGCAGGTAGAAGTTCACCTCACATGAAAAGGGATGATTTTTCATTAGTGAGGTGATTTGGAAGGCAAGAAACCCCTATTTTTATTTTAGATATTATCTATATATAATAATATATACATGTTGAGAAAATGTTATCGAATTATGTATTTTGAGAAAATTTTGTAGATATTTTTTAAAAAAAATAGATAAAAATAAATTTTAAATGATATAATCAAATAAATGAAGAAAAAAATAGTTATTTAATATAATGAAATTAAGTTTTCAATTTTATATTTTTTTGTGCCTTCATGGAAGCAATATATATTGCGAAACAAGTTAGAGTATCTCCAACCGTGACTTAAATTTAGACTCAAATTTGAGTAAAAAGTTTGATTTAGTATATAGTACTCTAATGGACACACTCAAATATTTATTCAAATCTTTTAAAAAAAAAATTTATTATCCCAAAACTCATTTTTTTTGTGTTATTCAAATCATAATATTTGATAAAAAAAAAATGAAATTTTCATATCTCCACAAATGGATAATTAAAAAAAAATATATATATATATATATATATATATATATGTATATAACACTATATGACAATAAAGAAACCACCCCAGAATTCTAAGATTATTCTAATCCCTTATCATTTTTTATAAATCCAGATAAAGAAAAAAAAATAGTTAACATGGGCATAGTCTGAAGAATAAAAAAAACATATTTTTTTTTAACAAAAAGGGAAGATTGAAGAAATAAAATAATAAATTTTTTAAATTTGTGGGTACTAAAAGTTTAAAATTTCAAGAAGAATCGGTGGTTTGAAATTGCACTACCGATAGTGTTTAACTCAAAAAAATAAAAGAAAAATTTGATGGGTAAGCTTAGAGTTTATATAGTATGAAAGATGGGTGAGATTAAGATTTTAAAAAATACAAGAAATTAAGAAAATGGAAGATGAAAAGCAAAAAACTTACCTACAGGCCTTCAAATGATTTATGAAAGTTTCGGTGGTAGTCGACGATGGAAGTAGTGTCGTAGAGAAATGCAAGAAGAGACAGAGAATAAGTAATCAAAAAAGTCTTTTAGTTTTGGATAGGTTAAAAAGTTACCGTTAGAAATTTGATATAGAATTTGAGTCTATTTTAATTTGAGTCCAAAATAAGTTTTTTCTTGATTTGGTATGGATTTGATTTTAAACTATTTTAACTCAAATTTAAATTTCAGTCTATATTTGAGTCAAAATTAAAAATACTGTTACAAGAAGGAAATTCAGTTCGAAGACAAATGAATTTTGGTAAATAATAAGTGTTTGAAACTTCACACAAGGATAAAGTTGAGTGCCCGGAAATCAGCCTAAACTGTGGCTGTCCCCTAGTACACGATGCTGGTACTTTCCGTGAATACGAGACAAGAGACTAATTACAAAGTACTCTTTTGGCTTCGGGAGTAGTCTACGTGTATATATATATATATATTGTACTATACTTTTATTTATTATATTTATAGATATTTTATTATTATTGTAAATATTTTTATCATTTTTGTTGTATTAAAAAAGTGGTAAAATAGTTACTACAACAATGATAAAAATACTTATAAATGTAATAAATCATTTACAAAAATAATAATTTTTTTTGTACCAAATAAAAGTGATAAAAATAATTACCGTAATATTGGTAAAAATATTCACAACAGTGATAAAAATACTTACAAAAGTGATAAATTACCCACAAAATAACAAATTTTTGGTTATAAAACGATTAACAAAAATTATAAAAATATACATTAAATAATAAATTTTGAAAGTATGATATCGATTTTTTTTTTTTATCAGTATAGTACATTTGGATGAAGGGAATGATTTGTTCAAACTATCGGTGAGATTTAGCAGACCATGACTGGTCCTGAAAGAGAATGAATGGAAAAAAAAAAAAAGATGTCGTATGAATAGGGAGTTCTAAGAATATTTCAAGTTTTTGGCTTAATTTCTAATGAAAGGACCATGTTCATTTACGATTGAATTTGACAATAAGATGCTCTTAGCTGGCTGGGGTTAGCGGAGTCTTTTGGGGAGTTCTCCGGTGTTGAAGTTGGCCTCGACTTTACCGTAAATACATACATCTTTAGAACCATACATATGGGAAATTAGTGTAAGTAGAGGCCAATTATTTATTTATTTTTTTTTTTTTGGGGGGCGGGAAAAATAAAAAAAATCTAGGACAGGTGAGTTATAATTTGGCTAGGATTCCTCCTTTGGTGTGTAAGCTAATTTGAGTCGTATCGAAATTTTAGTATAAAAAAGTCCTCCAATTTTTGAAAAAACTTGCATACTGTGTTGGTGCAAATGTTAAGGGATTATCTAGTTATTGGTTTTCATTACCCATTTTGCTCTCATCACATGATTTTAATCTAAATATAGTTAGTTTCTTTTTTGTTATTAAGGTTTTTGCCATATTGTCTACCAGGAATTGGCTACGGTAAAACCAAAGAGTTTTTCGGTACCATACCAAAATTTATCACATTTGTGGTAACTTTGATCACATTTAGAGGTATTTGTATCACTGTTGTGGTACCTCTCACTCTCACTACAACCGATACTTAAATTCATTTATCTATCCTCTCTATTTGTGATTTGATTTTGAATATAAATATAAATACAAATATATTTATCATTTATCATTTTTTATTATTCTGTACTTTCAGGCACATGCAATAACTAATTTATTATAATGGTAATACCACGTCAATACCATCTAATGACAAAAAAAATAAATAAATGGACAAAGTCTATCTTATTTTTATACATGGGTCAATTATTACATTACATTTAATTGTATAAAATTAACTTGTCTATTTATTATTTTATTATTAAATGATTACACTATATCAAATATGTCGCATTAAAATTTGTTCAACTGACTCATTTAAGTTATCAAGTCAAACCAAGCACCCAAGTCATGTATAAAACTGTCGAGCCAACATCTAATAGCAAGATAATTGTTATTTTTAAGTAGCCCATCACTTATTATTTATTTATTTATTTTTTTCGGGGGGGGGGGGGGGGGGGGGGGGGGGAATGCACTTAGCTCCCTCTGATGCAATGTTGACTTTCCAGATTCACCAAGCACTCCAAAACCTCCCTGCACGTTGGTGAAAAATGGATGTTAGTGTAGCAAATGTATAGTATTTAGTCTAGAAAAAGCCCACATTCTATTCTAACAACAAAAGGTGGATACAGTTTCTCCTATTTTGATCCAATGATATAAAATTAATCTTAAATTTCATTTGTTGCTCAAAAATATCATTTTCTCTACACAATTCCTAGTGTCAAACATCATCACTAATTCACACTTTCTTCTCCCTTCCATCTCCCCTACCTCAATCTTAAAGAAAAGAAAAGAAAAAAATAAAAATCTTATTATTTAAAATACAATTAATGTTCAATTTTTTATATTGTAGAATGTCTTTATGCTCGAGATATTGGTAGTACATAAATAAAATGAGTCATATGACATTTTTGCCCTTTCTTTTTAGCTCTTTCAAAAAGATAAATCTTTGTAAGTTTTTTTTTTTAAATATGAATATCCGTATATTACTAGTACAATGAAGAGAAAAAAAAAACACTCAAAAAAATATATATATATTTTTTTTAAAAAAAATCCCAAAAGAGGGGTGCAATAAATATCAAACGAAAGAGTTGAGACAATAATCTCTGCCTTTTATCATAAGATTTTGATTTTGATGGAGATCACCATGTCAATATTAGATCTTTATGGAGAAAATGTTCTTTATCTTTGATCAAAATTATTATTTACACAATGTTTATTGGAAGAGTTAATTAGTGTCATGTTCACGTCATTTTGAGTCATTATGTTAATTAAAAAGTATTTAATTCTTAAAAGATTCATATAATATTACATAAATTTTTTTAAAAAAATACTTATTTTTTACAAATAATAATAACAACTAAATATATCATTCGTGTCTACCACTAATTTAATCTATTTATTTTATATTTTAATGGACTATTTTATTTTAAAAATCTTGTGTGTCGAGTTCGTGGGTTGGTATTATTGAAAAGGGCATGGAGGTCATTCCAACTAAAACTAGGGGCAAAATAGGTCCATAAGTAATATTGAAAAATTTGACTTGGCGTCCTCGTCATATCGTTGGCGGTTTCTTCTCCCACTGTATGTAAATCCTATTCAAAGCCAGCAATAGCATTGGTCGTTTGGTATCTCCCTTCTCTCTCTCTCTCTCTCTCCAAACCTCTAAAATATTGATTCAGATCTGATCGTACTAACGCCAACCTCGTGACGCGAGAGAGAGATTGAGAAACAACTCTGTAATTTTTTGGAGGAATCAATATGGCAGTGGTGTCACCTCTGGCGAAATACAAGCTGGTGTTCTTGGGCGATCAATCCGTCGGTAAAACCAGCATCATCACTCGCTTCATGTACGACAAATTCGACACTACCTATCAGGTACTGTGCAATAAATCAATTCCATGTTTTTCTTCACTATCTTCATCCACTTTTCAAAATTCTTGTGTAATTCCTGTTAAAGTTGATGTGATGATATGTTGATTTGGTTTTCCAATGTGATTTTATTGCATCTTTAGATTTATATTGATAATTCAAGGTTCAGAGATTTCTATATCGATTTCCATGGTGTCCTCATGAAAATACAGTTTTAATTTTGGTGGTGTGTATGTATAGGCCTTGCATGTCTTGTATTTGAATATAGTTGTGTTCAATGGAAATATAATTGACTGCGTGTTCAGGTCAATGTCATATTTGCATAGCGATGATTACACATGTTCCATAAGTGTCCAGAAACTTGTTTTTATTCAGCGATGATACTGAGCCAAAAAGGGATGGCGCACACACAACCATATGTGCTATCTACATGATCGTGGGGTTCTGGCAGTATGGTCAACTTACATCACACGAGTAATGATAGGATTTGATATTTTCTTTCTCTCAGCAGAGGAAACTAGTTTAAATCTGGTAGCTGAATTTTTAAAATCCTGTTGGTCAGTTCCTGTGAGAGAATCAGGCCAACTCTCATACTGGCTCGCGGAGGTTCATTCATTTGACTGCATGCTAGAGCCACTTTTCAGAAATATTTTGTTAATTAATCACCTCAGAATCTTTCATTTCCATGTGAAGATCATTTCTTTCACCTACTTCTCCAAACACAGATACACCTCTGGGCTTCGGCAATATTGTACATTAATTCCATAATGAGTACTCTTTTTACCCCCAACCACCCAATGCCCACCTACAGTTAGTCCGTGAGGAAAAAAAGAAAACACAATTTAAACAACAAAAATTAAATTTACACATATCTTTTGGATCCACGCGTACTCGTGAACTTGATTTGGAAGATAGAAAAATTTGGACTTCTTTGATCCTGGCACGTTAAAGTTATAATTCCATAGAAAATGGTGGTTAATACATTTATTGATGGCAAGTCTGCAATATGCACATAACTTTAGAATTCCGAATCCTTAGATGGCAGCTCTAGTTCTCCTTGAATGGATGAATCTGTTCCTATCTTTTTTTTCATGTTAAAATTGCTCTGTTACACTGCAGTGCACCTTTTCTGTCACCATTCTACGATATGGTACAACTTGGTAATTCATTTCCTCAAGCTAATTTATTGAATCAGACTAAAGCTTTTGCTTACGTTTTAGCAATTTGATATGCAGGCTACCATTGGCATTGATTTTCTGTCCAAAACAATGTACCTTGAAGATCGAACAGTACGCCTGCAGCTTTGGTAGGATGTCTTTCTTTTTTCTTTCCAAGACCAGATAGGTAACTGTTCCTGAGTGGGTACTACTTCCTATAACCTTTGCAATTGATAGACTTTTTAAAGCAGAAACTTGAAGAGTTGCCTTGAGTCACATGAAGTATTACCTGTGAAACTTAAAAAATTAGTTATTGAAAGATACAAATGTGAACTTTTCTACAAAACCTTATGGTCCTATGACTACTAATATTTATTAAAAGGAAATGATTCACAAATTCAGGATATTTTTTTCTGTGGAGTCAAATTGATGATGTTTTGCAAAAGGTTGTAATGGGCAGTTGGATAAGGGGTAGTTTGGTTGTTTATTAGAATGTTCAATATTGTGTTCTTGAATGTTGGTTGTTTCAATCATGTATTCAATAAATACATCGTATGCATTTCTTTTATCATTTTTTATTTCAAACAACCAATAATCCAACTTTACAGGGATACAGCTGGCCAAGAGAGGTTTAGGAGTCTTATTCCAAGCTATATTCGAGATTCTTCCGTTGCAGTGATTGTCTATGACGTTGCTAGTGAGTGGTATTCTATATTGTAAAGAAGATAGTTTTTTAAGAAATAGATGCTAATACATGGGTAAAGACTCATTTAGAAAATACATAGATTCTGTATTTTGCAGAGAACTTAATTATGCGTTAATTGCACACAGCTGTATTCATGCTTGCAAACATATGTACCATATTTCATTTTCCATTATTAGTGTTGCAATTTTTGTTTCTGTGTAATTGGATAATTCCTGTATTCTTTAATGTCATGCCAAATTGCATCTATGCAGATCGACAATCATTTTTGAACACGTCAAAGTGGATTGAAGAAGTACATACAGAACGAGGCAGTGATGTCATCATTGTTCTTGTCGGTAATAAAACTGATCTTGTTGATAAAAGGTAGGGAATGAACTGTTGGGTTTCTTTTTGTATTTGACAACCGCACTCTTAACACTCATTGTTTAGATATGGATCATGGTCACTCGGAAACACCTGCTTAATCCTCCTTGTACATTTAGTTCTCTTGTTTCATATTCATGAAATAATTACCTGGACAAACCTTTAAGGAATGGCTTTAAGTGAGTCTTGGACCAGGACCTCCAACTTTATCAAGTTGTCACTTCGCCCTTGGCATCTTTTTTACCCCTTCCGTGGTTATGGATTTTCTTCTTGACAACTTGGAGCTATGAATTAACAATATCCATTTTTTCTTTTGTGCTGCTTCCTTATGTGGTGAAATTTTCCCCCTTCCCAAAAGAAACACTTTTTTTTTTCCAGTAAAAGATCAAATACTACATATTCTTTTGAGGAAGGATTTAGGTAGAGGCTGTAGAGCTATATCTTTCTTGTAGCTCATGGATTTTGTGTACACTGCCTACTAACGGTTTATGAACAACTTGGGGTGATTGTTTAAGTGTCCATATTTTGAGGAAGAAAATTTTTGTTCTCCCATATTCTTGTAGTTGCAAGTAAACTTAAATGGTTTTTCTCCAGTAAGAAAATGAAAGTAAAATCAGACTTCAGCAGCTATATACTGTCCAAATATCCTATGGATTTTCATGTCATTTTCTTCTAGCATTTATCTGATGGTGCAATTGTGATTATTAAATAGGCAAGTTTCAATAGAAGAAGGGGATTCCAAGGCTCGTGAGTTTGGGATCATGTTCATAGAAACCAGTGCGAAAGCGGGATTCAATATCAAGGTAGTAAAGCATCATGTCATTTTGTCTTTTGAGAATTCTTGGACTTGGAATCCAATAACGTAGTCATATCTCAAGTTTGACTCATCATTTTTTATTTTTTATTTTTAATTTTTTGGGAAGGGGAAAGGGGAGAGGTACTTGAATCTTTGACCTCATGAAGGGAAGGAGTATCATTGGACCAAAAACAGTTGTATTCCTTTGTTAAGAATCTCCCCTGGCACAAATTTGACTTGCTGTGATCCTTTTATGAATCTTGCTTAATAGTAGTGAGTCCTTGTCTTGGTTGCTTACTGTTTGTAACTTGGGAGTTTTGATGTGAATGTAAACTTGCAGCCTCTATTTCGTAAGATTGCTGCTGCATTGCCGGGATGGAAACTCTTTCCTCCACAAAACAGGAAGACATGGTTGACGTGAATTTGAAGCCTATGGCCAATACATCCAACACAGAACAACAAGGGGGAGGTTGCGCGTGCTAGACAAATGTATTTTAAGACGAAGAAAAAGAGAGAGAGGACAATTGAAGCACCTGATACTAAACCGAAATTGAGTAAAGGGGTGTTATTAGATAATTTCGATGTCCTGTGAGGTTTCAGCCGTTTTGATTGTTTCTTGACAATCTACCAGGAAGTTGTTTCTTCAAGTCTTGAGAGAGAGGAAACTAGCGATGGTCTGCCCTAAAGATGCTACGGTTCATAGTTGGATCATGTTCTGTTTACGTCTTCACTATTATACTTAATTAGATTTTTTGAAAAAAAATTTATATTTAACCTTTTTCACTTGTTTCTATATGATTCGATTTGTATACATGTATTCAGGCCTCCGAGTCGTCTTTTTAGGATGAATACTTATTATTTGGTAAACAATAAATCTATAAAGATCATTCATTTTTATTGTGTTTGGTATTGCTGGATTAAACATGCTTGGTTTGCGGTATGACCTTCAGCTCGATTTGCCATGTCACACCTTCCGGTACTCGCTTCATAAAATCAAATATGATTGTGTTTCAGAATAAACAACCCACGTACCACAAAAATAGAGTATAATGCATTTAATGAAAATTTGTTGTGTAATGTTTAAATTGCTGATATGACGAGTTGTATTGGTTTCCATGCAAAAAACAAAGGGTGTCGTAGACAAGCCTCTCAGCATTATAGGTAGGTGTGGTAGCTCTGAACAGGACCTAGACACAAAATCAATATAAAGTTTATAGGGTTTGGTTTAGTGTTAATAATTCAAATAATAAACGTGTATATCCATTAAATTCATCAAATAAATGAATTAACGCAAATTTGGTTCGATAAAAACCCGATTATACATTATGATTAGTGAATCGGGTAGAAGTTGAGTAAATTTTGGCATGACACAAACTTAACACATCTCAATTTCAGCCATTAACTGGAGTAAACTATTCCATATAAAAAACGAGGTAGCCTCTAGCTGTTGAGGGTTTTAGGAAAACTCAGATCTAAACAGTCTTATCCCACAAGTGGATAAAACTGTTTTTGTGACTCAACCCTATGGTGTTTAGGTCACAACAAAAGAAATTTACCGTTGGGCCAACACCTGCCATCAGAATGAGTGATAAAAGCAGTGTGAAACTTGTGCTTTGTGTAACGAGAATCAAGTTGTATCATGAAACGATTAGTTTATATAACGGGGAGCATGAACTAGAAAGGGTGAGTGAATTCAACTTTATGTACATGAGAAGAAGAAAAATACCCAAAATGCATTTAAAACCTGAAAAAAGGAAATCGAAGAAAACCCGAAGAACCCTAGAGACACTCTTTCACAAAAGATTGGCAACTGGAAAAGGTTAGACATTATCAGACATGAGCATATCCATCACCCATCTGCCTTGCTCTCAGTGTCAAATATATCAATATTATCGTCCCCATACTCGACCTGGAAAGAAAATAAAAGTTAATGGTTGAAAAATACAGAAAAGTGAAGGGCACTAGTGATTGCAACAACCATCAGCATGTCAAGATTTAAAAAGGGAAACAAAAAGAAAATACATTAAAAGCCTCACCTATGGCAGTTTTTTTCCAGGTGTTCATGTTATTTTTTTTTTTTTTCTCTCTTATAATAATGTTGCACAATGATTCATGGAAATAACCCTCATAGGGGTAAGATATGCATATCTGACTCACCCAATTACAACATTAGTGGGAGACTCGTGTACTGGATTGACTTTCTATATGGAATGTTTTGTGAGTGAATTCTCTCTATTCCCCTACATTTTAACTCCACTGTCAGAATAACATTGGACTGTGTCTAATTTATGATTGTTTTGAAAGAAGCATCTCCTGAAGGTGTTAAGAACTACACTACTTGAATCTAGTTGGCTAAAACTTTTCTTGTTAAAGGCAAAAGAGTATTTCACTTTTCAGCGGTACATGTTGACTGAAGCTATATCACCATGGAAGTACATTCACTATGATAACACCTCTTCTCTTCGGCTATATTAAGATAGCTGATACATATTTTGCAGTAGAAAGCATAGGCTCAACTATGGATGCCAACGGATCGGATTCAAATTGGATTTTTACCGATCCCAATATCCAACTGATTTGTTTCCACAATCCATTTCTGATCTGTTAAAAGTCAAAATTGTGATCCAAATATACGATCTAATCAGGGTAACTCAAGATGGCTAGAATTCTAGCAGATTATATGAATTCCATGTCAATTTCATCAAACCACTTAATTTTACTATATACATATGATATTACGATGGAAACACAATCGGATCAGATATTAATATAACCCAATTTGAATTCACGAATTTTGATAAAACGAATATAATTTCGTATAATCGGTCTAAAGTATCAATCCATGCCCGCTAATGGGATTCGAATTTGGATGCGATTGACATCAAAATTTGATCCATACCTAGGCTCAATTTTACTTGATATTGTACTATTAGTCTGTTCTTCTCTCCAATTTATTTTATGTGTAATATTGCTTGCATATGCCCAAAAACTCAGTGATGGGAAGAGTGATGCACTTATGCGGCCTGAAAAAGAAAGGACTAGTGAACTTGCAAGATGAGTAAAATCAACGATATAATGGATCGTGAGCTTACAAGACTGAGAAGAGGAGAACAACTTTTCTTGAATTGAACGAGGCAGAACGTTTATATTTCCTCGACCTGTTATTTGGCATATCATGAACTCTCTCAGTTCCAGATTTATCTGTGAACACAAGAAACAACAGCTGACAAGTAAATTCGCAAGGTCCAGTTCTAGCTACATATGAAACTGTAAATGCTCAACTTAATACCGTCTGAGGGCATGCCAGACGGGTGTGAACTAATAATATATCAGTAAACATCTCTTAAATAAGGGGAAGGAGAAGACTCAATTTTCACTATGTATGAAGTGCTGCAGCTTACAATGGTCATTTTATTTTTCAAGGAAGGAAAAAGGCACACTAAAGAAGAGAAATGTGAGAAAACATGTTGTTTTCATTTGAATCATCTAAACATCAGGCCAACTGGCTTGGCTTCTCAGCATGTTCTACCTCCCAGCATCTTGTTTGGATTATATCATGTCAACGCTTCATGCCAGATTGAGGGGTTGGATCCCAGCCAGAGTTCTGGTTGAGGAGTCTCGGTTGTGCTTGTTCTTTTTCATGATTGATCGCCGTAGCTACAGCTAGGTGTAATGTAGAAAAATTTCCATGAAAATTCATTGCTTTTCATGTTTTCTTATTCCTTATTAGGAGGAAAGACATTGAAACATCGTTCAGTAGGAAACATATCCTTCAGTACGGTGCACGCCACATTCTCAGCACCTAGAGTGCCCCATCACAGCTTGCTCCTTTCTGTTACTTTTGAATGATTACGTGACTAGGGAGAGTATCCAGGCCATTTTTGTGGAAAGAAATAGGCAGAAAACATCTAGGACAGGAAAACATTATACCACACAGAACATAGAACGAGACCGAAGATCCCATGAAATAATTGCTCACTACAAATATATGTGAGAGTGATTGAGCTTAAAGATGCTTTTATACCTCTAGAAATGAACTTGGGCAACACAAGATTGTCAGTCATTAACAGGTGCATGAATTTCCCTTTTATCTGTAAGCTAAGCTGTCTCTGTAATGTCCTCTGCCAATGCTGTCAAGTAGTCATAAAATTTGGGAATTAAACATGCCAAACATATGGTGCATGAAGATCCAATTCATAAGACAACTAAGATATCACATCTGCACTCAACCCAGACGAACTTTGTATTGGGCTTCCAACTAAGGAAGCCAAATCAGAAATTATACACAAGGAACTTACAGTTAATGGATCCTCAGTCTTCAAATTCCCAATAGTTTCATCATTGGATTTAGGTATCTCCAACTTTCCCTTCTCAATATCCATATCCAAAATGTGTGGCGTAAAGAGATCCACATTTTCCATTTTAAGATCGATGTGATTTTGGTGGTTTGATTGGGCATCCAAGTACATATGAGATTTATTTGAATTCGGAACTTCAGAAAGGCTTAGGATATCTAACTGTGATTCACATTGCTGCTTGGTGGGGTTTTCACCAGGCAACACTGCAACACCATAGGCATCTTGGCACTGCAAAAATAGACAACATAAAATCTTCCGAGTCCTGAATCAATAACCAATCGGGGTTGGAATTAAAATGATTATATGAGCAATGTAATTAATATAAAGAATGCCATTAACAATATCTCTTACATAGTGCATGGGAAAATCTGTACAGGAGGCAGGGGGCATTTTCTGGCTCAGCTAAAAAAGACACAAATGAATTGAGTTTAGGTCCTCACTCTTTGTTTTGACTGCTTACAGACTTTACTAACTGGCACCTTCTAGTGGAACATTAAGCATAGCCTTGTCAATATTGAATGCTAAATATGTTTTCCTCCAAACTTTGCTAGTGTGGACAATAATGTGCAGGTGCAATTCCAACTTGGAGAGAGAGAGAGGGAGAGGGACAGAGAGGAAACGTGGAGCAGGAATATTGGACTCCCAAAAAATTTTGACCACTAAAGATTACGTCCATCAAAAGTGAATATCATTCCAGTAAATTGGTAGCAGAGAAAAAGAAGAATCCAGAATGAAACAACCACGCTCTGAAAACAGTAAATTCCTACCAATATGGGTAAGAATATGATCACAGTGGATTTATGACAATAGTAACTAAAACAAAATGAGAAACAGTCCATTTGCATTAAGAGAACTTCTAGATTCAATGCTAATGACACCAGGTGTTTAAACACATGATTCAAAGCTAAAGCGATGCATGGTTTCACATCTTAAAATGTTATGGCAGCAGGTCATGTTTTAGCAGTTTGTCACCTCATGGCATAGCAATAAATTAATCCATATATTCTGTCTACCACAGCATTGAAATGTACATAGTGATTCGGGTCATTCCAAAATCAAAACTCTTCAACCATACAGACAATTATTCAAGTAATTTAAAACCCCATAAAAGAGTGCAAGCTAGGTTTGACTCCTAAATCCTCAACATTTGACACATGAACTTACTAGTCATAACTCGTGTCTGAAGGTACGATAGAACATAAAATTTGAGCGCCCAAAAAATCAATCCCACTATATTAAATTTTTTTAACATGTGTATACTATCATATATGGATAATGATTGAAACAAAAATTATGTTAACTACAAATTAATCAAATATTAAATGATTGAATATGCGATAGAAATGAGTGATGTGATGTTTTTAGGAGAAAAAATATGTAGGTGATAAAAATTCAAGTTGCTATGTGTTTTATTATATAGATGTGTAAATTCTGCAGGGGCATTGATACATGAAAATTTATAGGTAAATGGATCTAAAGGATGTTCATATGCAACTAAAGTTCTTAAATCAAGTTACACTTTTGACTGGAGTAAAATCACTGAGAGAACAGGCTGAACCGACTAACCAAGAGTCCCTTGGGGAACTAAAAAATTGAACAACCAACAGTTGAAGAGCAACATGCATTTGCAATTTCATGTAAATATCTTTATCCGGTTTTAATTTATGTATGAGGTTCATGCATGAAGAACCACTAGATAACATAATGGTAAATAGGATTGACAAAAGGTACCCTCCAAATCATGGTTGTGCTACCCTAGGCAATTAGCTAAATAAGATGTCTGTGTACAATTTGTACTATAATTTCTGAAGCTTCGAGTAGAATAATATCTTTCGACAATACTACTTGTACCTAATTTGGGGACTTACTACATTGTGACTGTGGATTAGCAACAGACTCTGCATTCAATTCTTGGACCCATTGTTAATCCAACCATGATAATGCATTTTTTTTTCTTTTTTAAGATACCATCTTTTCCGAAAAGAACTTTATTTTTTCTTTTTTGGAGGGGTGAAGAACTTTATTGGTGTCAGGAGGCACAAGAATGCAGAAGATTCAACCAAGGAGGAATGGACACGTGGCATGCAATGTCAGATCAAAGACAAAACGACCAGAATGCCCCTGCTGACACGTGACTTGAGCACACAGACATTTAATGTATCCCCATCCTGATGAGACAGTATTTAAGACATAGGGGCCATGAAGTGAAAGGCATTAAATGCTCCCATGCCTGGGCATTTAATACTCCCTCGTCGAGGGACTTGAACCCTTGACCTCAACAAGGCAAAACCTTTACAAGACAAGGAGTACTATTGGACCAAAGACCCATGGGTAGTATGATATGCATTAGGTGCCCTAATTACAATAAAATTGCTCCTTATCTTTTGTGTTTATTTCAAGTGAAAAATAGTTTCTCAAATTCTTATATTTCACAAGTAATGTCGATACAGGGGGAGGGGGAGTGAATTGGGGAGAGGAATCGAACTATGAGGGTCACAAGTGGGATGACTCATTCATCCCACTAGGATAGGAATTAGGACTGTAGTCTTGTAAAGGTAATTGATGGGACATTTCCAGAATGCAACAAATGGCGCCCTCGGGACCACTGAAGCATCTCTGCTATGGTCCTGACACGTGTCATTGGCATCCTTAGCCCTCCCGCCGAGGGAATAATTCCCGGGGCCGAAGGACTCCGAGGCGGCATGGATGCCACATATCCCTCGGCTCAGATTGATGATATCGGTCCCGATGTGTACATGCTCTCTCGACGCCGAGGTGTATCTACTGGAATGTGGACTTTTCCACTCCTACAAGGGCTGGTGATTAACAGGTGACTAGCATAGGCCACGCTAGGCTAGCCATCATAACAGCGTTCTACTCAATGGTGTCAGGAGGCACAAGAATGCAGAAGATTCAACCAAGGAGGAATGGACACGTGGCATGCAATGTCAGATCAAAGACAAAAGGACCAGAATGCCCCTGCTGACACGTGACTTGAGCACACAGACATTTAATGTATCCCCATCCTGATGAGACAGTATTTAAGACATAGGGGCCATGAAGTGAAAGGCATTAAATGCTCCCATGCCTGGGCATTTAATACTCCCTCGTCGAGGGGAGGGCATTGAATACTCAGCAGGCCGAGGGGAAAACATCAATTGCTCGGCGTCCCGAGCAGTTAAGGCTGAATGCATTCCCCACTAAAGGAAAGGGGGCACACTGCCCCATCTCTAATGATTGCCTACTAGCTATATTATCAGCAATGATGAGCTTTTGAAGGTATAAATAGTCCTCAAAAATATATTGTAAAGGTACGCAAAAACTTCTGAAAAGAAGCATAGTGCTTTCTTCTTCCCTTCTATCAAAAAACTGACTTGATCGTCGGAGGGGATATGCCGGATAGCAATTCGGCACCCTTCTAACCTGTTTTTCTGTATTACAGGATCCCCCACAGTCTTTCAGAACCGGTCATGCGACCCAACAAACAATTCATTACTGATCCTTAGGGTCCCTTTGTCCCTCTCAACCTACTTCTTGTTGCTAAAACCCACTTTCGGATGGGTCAAAACTCTACCAGAAGCGATCAAAGATTCTGAATGCGAACCTTCCGTTCTGCTGGAATTACTGTCTTGTCGAACCACAAGTCATCGTGGGAGAGATCTGTTCCTATTTCTACTATTGTGCGAAAATCAGCGTGCACAGTAACAATTAGAGGCTGGTAAAATATATGGTTTGCAATTGCATTCATACAAAGCATTTCTAACAGTTTTGCAAACCCGTAATGAAAAAAACATTATATATATATTTATTTATTTAAATGCAAACTGATGGAATAGATTTGTTGATTCGGAGAACTAGGCTTTGAAATGAGATGTAAAAATCTAATAAAATTTTACATAAAGTTAAAATGCAGTTCAAATTACAGAATCACAGTTTCGAATAGCTCTATTACTTAAGAAACCAATTATTTTTATTAGTAGTCTATAAAATAAAAAAATCTTCAGTAAAAACTCACCGCCATTGCAGAATGAATTAAAACTAAGGTAGTAGAGGTTGTGTGTCTTGTCAGTTGAGTGTAGTGATACACTGATACTGATACAGATGTCTCGAGATAATGCAATGCAGCTACAATTATAATAACAAATATGCAAAATGTGGAAGTAAAATCGCAAACACAGATCAATTATAGTAATAATGCAAGAACTGAATGAAGCATTTAGATCTCACCTCGTCGCCTGAATTCACCGCCATTGCAGAAATGTTGACCGAGAGAGAGAGAGAGAGAGAGCCTCAAAACGTCTGAGATTCGAAGACAGAGGTCTAGTCTGTGATGTGCATTTTCTCAGCAAATGGATGTTTACATATAAGAGAGAGAGAGAGAGACAGAGCTGCATTCAGAACGTTACATCGGGAGAGGCCTGTTGTAACTGGGCACGATTTCCTTTGCCAGGAAAGCTCCTGATCACGACATAAATGATACAGACAAAACATTTTTTTGATTCTTTTTCGGACAATAATACCCTTGAGATTCTATACGATGAATTCAATATCTTTTGCAATTCTTTTTTTTTTCTTTTTCTTATTTGAATAAATAAAAAACTTTTTTTCTCCCTCTCTCTCTCAAAATGACATTCTTATTTAATTTTGAGTACCCATCGTGTGTGTTTCAGGTTGAGATAGCTGTCTTTGTCTTTAAACTTGAAGAGACAGTGAGGTTAGTTGTTGGCCTAATAACGACTGTCTAGACTTAAACAGGACCGGTCATGCGACCCCACTGTTTAGACTTTAATGTTTTACTGTGTAAATTTCGTGATTCTCCAGAGGGGTGTGAATTTTGTATTTTTTTTAATTTTTTAAATAATATTATATGAGTTGTTATAAAATTAAATAATTTTATATTAATATGAACCCGACACGTCCCGATACAAAAATAATACAATCGAAAGTGACACGACACAACACAAAAATAACACGATTGACACCCCTTATTCCCCTATAATTGTGTTTGACCTCAAAAAAAAAAGAACTTAGAAGAGACAATTAATCATTCGGTCAAAAATTGGCTAAAGTAAAATACGAATAAAATTATGTATTCACTTACCTTGCGTATATCCCCAGTGTAATCGATATCTTTGTACACTGAGTACAAATTTTGGTAAAATCTTAAAGAATTCTATAATTTATTTTTTGTGAAATTAAAAAATTTGTCAAATGTAATTTTAACTCGTTT